ACCGTCATCTGGAAGCCCAGCTGCTCACACTCCGAGCAGCACTCCAATCTCCGGTGACAGGCACGTGCGGGCTGCGGAGGAGGCGCCCAGCCGGGCATCGAACCCGGGTCTCCCACGTGTTGTGAGTGTCCCCAGGTCAGTTCTGACTCTTAGTGACCCCACAGGAGGGAGCATGTGCCCAGCACTCCACCCGCCTCACACCTCTGCTGTGTGCAGCCATGGGCCCGTCCACCTCATCTAGGTTCTGCCTTGACCCTGACCCTGTGCTCTCCCATGCTGTCCTCCTCCAGGGACCAGCTCCTCCTACACAGAAGGTGACTGCTGCGGCCGAAACACATCTTCACCCCCACCCGGTAGTGACATTCCAGTGTCCCCCACGAATGAAAGCTAAACAGCAGACACAACATTCCAGTGTCCCCCACGAATGAAAGCTAAACAGCAGACACCAGACCAGCCTGGCTCAACCTTTTTAGGGAATATTTCCCTCCACTCTGCCCAGACGTACCGGCTGATGACTGTGAAGATACCAGAGCACTTTGGGGGAAGAGGTGAACTCCAAAATGTTGTGTGCTCAAATAGCAACAGTGGGCTTGTGTGTGTGAGTGTGTGTGCATGGGGTGGGTGTGTGTGCACACATGTACACGCATGTGTGTGGACATGTATATGAGTGTGTGGATGTGTGAGTGAGAGAGTGTGTGTCCCTGTGTACATGCACACATGTGTGGACATGCATGAGTGTGTGTGGATGTGTGTGTGTGTGTGTGTGTGTGTTGTATTTAAATACAAGAATGGATATCAGTGGCCTTTCTCAGGGAAGAAAGCAGAGCCAAGCCCCATCTCGTGCAGCACGGACAGAGGACCCTCCCATGGTTCTCCCCCTACACCACAGCCACCCCCCCGGGGTCTGGCCGGGTGCTCCCAGGGGGCTGCCGGGGAATCATCTGCAGTTCGGCGTGTGCACAGGACACATACCTGTGCACCCCAGCCCCGTCTCTCTATAAATAGCTCGGCTGTGTTCACGGGATACAATTAACCTGGCGAGGCACGCGTGCACTGGGGTTTTCTGTGTTAATTTGGAGAGAGGTTCAGTGCGTCCTGATCTGAGAAGGGGGCCAGACAGAGTGAGGACAGCAGCCCTTCCCGTCTTCCAGCAGACTGCTTCTCCCTAACAGGGGTTACTGGGAACTTAATGACTCATTCCAGCTACTAATTAAACAGGCACTAAAAACAGTTAAGCAAACAGTCCAGTGCCAATGGCAGAAACCACCAAGGGACAAAAGCTACTGGAATAGAGTATCTGCAGGTATTAGAACTGACCATTCGCATCACCCTGGGACGATGGGGTGACAGCAGCCTGGCAACGGGCACAGCACTGACGTGAAGGTTGTCCTACAGCTCAGAACCCAGGACTGGACACACCCGTCCTCATGCCCCTCCTCGGCTCTCTGGTAAATACGTGGTCTGCCCTGGACGGTCCAGAGGACCCTAAAATCCTGGCTCTCTCAGCTCAGAACATTAGCCAGTAAAGATAGAGCAGGTGCCTGGAGCTGCCGGCCCTGGGCAGAGTCCCACCTTGACCACCTCGTGCCCTCAGCCCCTCCTTCCCTTTCACAGAAAGCTCCTTGTCCCCTCTGACCCCTAGGACTGCCAGCACATGAGGGCAGGGACTAGCCAAGGCTGACTCGGCACTGAGGGATGCATTGCAAGCCGACTGCCCCCAGAAAGTCTCTGCGTGGGGAAATGAGTGAGTGGATGCAGAGATAAATGACGCTGAGCCCCATGACCTGGAGCTCTCCGAGTCGCATGTCCTCATCTGTAAGTGGGGAGCAGGACCCCTGCCTTCTGAGGGTGTGGGAGAGTGGCCAGTGGCCTTGGTGCAACAGACTCACTACCATGGGCTTGATCCTGACATCTAGCTATGCTCTAGGACGGAGCAGAGCTGCCCCAAGGCTTCCGAGAAGGACATCTTCACAGAGGCTTCACACCCCCTTCCCCAGAGCCACTGGGCTCAAGCCAGCAGCCTTTCACTGCACCACCACGGCTCATTCAGCCCTCTGTTTACAATTCCTTGGAAAGAAATGTCAGCAAAGTGTCACTGACCCACGCTACGGGCCTTCCCTCACCCTACACACATGTGAAAGCTGGACAGAAGGAAGGAAGACCGAGGGACGGGTGTCTTTGAGTTGTGGTGCTGGAAGGCCACTGAGAATTAAACGGAGGACTTCCAGAAGAATGAATGTGTCAATCTTAGAAGACACACAATCAGAACGCTCCCTGAAGTGAGGGGCGTGAGGCTGGGGCAGGTCCCATCAACAACGCTCCAGGGAATCTTCAAAGAGGGCATCGAGTCTGTAAAGAGGGCATCGAGTCTGTAAAGTGGGCATCAAGTCTGTAAAGTGGGCATCAAGTCTGTAAAGAGCAGGTGAATGGCTCTCATACACCCACAGGGACAGTGGTGACAGAGAGCCCAGCAGCCTTTCGGCCACTCAGTTAGACAAGAGGCCACTAAGATGGAGCCCTGTGAGCAGCGGCGGCCACCAGCAGCAGGCAGAGCGTGGAGAGAGGGATCCCTGAGGCAGAGGTCACTCGTCCCCCCCGGCCCTGGACAAACACAATGAGACCTGGTGGTGCACTGGTTGGGTCCCCAGCTGCTGACCGCAATGCAGTTCAAGCCCACAAGTGGCTCCCGGGGAGGGAGACGTGACAGCCGACCCCTGGGAGGGTCAAGCCACCAGCTCACGTCAACACCCTCACCACGTTCTCTGAAGCTGCCAGTCTTCAGGGGAGGGGACCGCCCACCTTTCCCCTCCATGGATCAGCTAGTGGATTCGAACTACCAACCCTTCAGTCAGCAGCCTGATAGTGCACTACAACACTAGCTCCTGCCTTTAAAGGTTGTTGCTGTTATTGTTGTTGTGTACTGTCGAGTCAGAACCAACCATAGCTGCCCCTCCAGCAGGTTTGTAATGGCCAGTAAATTGCCAGGTGGTGGTGAGGGGATGGCCCATCCTTCCCTGAAGAGCAGCTGGTGGCTTTGAACCATGTACTTTTGGGTTGGGCGGCACAACTCCTGACCACTAAGCCATCAGAAGCCCTATGCAGGGGCACTTCTCTTCGGTCCTAGAGTCTCTGTGGTCAGCGTCGACTGGACGGCAGCGGGCCTGACTTGGACACGGCTGCACTTAGCTAGAACACAGGGTTTCTTGTCCAGCGGTCTTTCAAACACAAATCCCAATTCTGCGACCTCAGCCTTTGAGCACACGGCTGAAGCGGGGGTGGGGACGGCGATGGCCCCGGCTGGGCACACGGAGGATGCTGGGGAGCCAGGCACACGGGCAGGAGAAGCCGTCCCCCCAGCCCGGGAGAGGCTCACCACTTCCGGCCTCCACAGAGCCCAGGCCAGCACAGGGTTAACAGGGCCCGGTCACCTCTGCCAAGGACTCATGTTTCTGCTCGCAGACCCTGACGAGCCATGAGCTCTGCACAAATTACAGGAGCGGAGAACAGGCCGCCTCCAGCAGTCCAGACAGGGCCAGCCCAGCTTCGGGGTTCCGGCAGGCCCACAGGCCAGCTCCACAGGGCCAGGAGAGAGCCCCGGCTGCCCGGGGACCAGGCAGGGGCCTGGTGGTCTCCACTTAGGCTTTGTTCACTCAAGACAGAAAGCCAGTGCGAAAGCAGAATTCCCCTAGGAAGCTGGGTGCATGATGTCACTGTCTAGCTTGGGGCAGGGGAGTGATACTGGGCCCCTTTCACCGAGAGAGGTCCAGGGAGCCAGTAACCCTGGTCCAGGGGCTCCAGGCAGTGTCCCCTAGGCCAGCACCTGTGGGGAAGACAGGAGCCAAAAAGAAGCATGAAAGCCTGCCCAGATAAACGAGTTTCTCTTTCAGGGTTCAAGACTGGCGGATGCAGCTCTGGCCTGTGACCAGCCCCGCCTCTCTGTGTGCACCCCCAGACCCTCAGGTTCCTGTCTGACTTTTGCTAACACCACGGAAAGCAGGCGGAGGTCCTCACCACGCACATCTGTGTCAGCGGGCCACCGCGAGTTTGCACCAGGCCATGGCCGAGGCTGGGCAAAGGCACGCCCAACACAGCCAGCTCACTGCCTCCAAACCCAAAGCCAGGCACCCCGGAGTGGGGCACGGAGCCCCGGTGTGCACAGACACTGCACTGCCAACCAAGGGTCAGTGAAGCAAGTCCACCAGGCGTCCTCCTGCAGAATCAAAGTCTCCGAAACCCGGTGGAGAGACACGCTGAGTCAGAACCACGTCAAGGCAGGGCTTTTGGGCAGTGGTTTGGGTTGTGGGGACGAGTGGGGAAGGGTGCAGTGAGGCAGACCCTCGGGTTGCCGGTACCTGGTGGCCTCTATCTACTCATCTGTACAATGGGTGTCCCTCACGCTCACGCCCCAGGGAAGGCAGGCAGCATCAGCCCAGACACCGACAGGGCCCACCCGGAACCAGGGCTCCCCGTGAGGTGCTGCAGCCCCGCCACACTCTGCGACATTTCACTCCCTCCTGTGGTCACAGCTAAGATTCCTTCTGATTTTGACTTTTTTTTTTTTCAAAGTTAATAGGCAACACATTCTCTCAAAGAGAAACTCAGCAATTTGGACGACTCCAGCAATGCACACAGACAGCTCAGGAATCTTCTCCTGGTCCCGGGGGGCGGGCTGGCGGGGGCCAGGGCAGAAGACAGCCTCAGATGGTGTGCGTTATCCAATTACGCATTAGCTAAACAGCCCAGAGATGAAACTGGGGGGTGCTGGGAGGTGCATTCTGGGAGCGAGACAGCCAGTGTGGGTAGGGACACCCCAACTCAGGAGCCGGGCGGTCTGCAGTCCCAGGGACAGCCCTCACCATGCCCCCAGGGGGCCCCCCAAAAGTGGCTGGGGCTCGCACGGCCTCCCCACCTTGACCCAGCCCGTGGCACAGAGAGGGCAGTCAGCGCGGCCCCCCGCCATCCCAGGAGCCCACCCCCCCCACCGCGGCGTGGTCTGTTACCTGACAACTGACACTGGCATCCAAAGGGGGCCACAGCCTCCGTCTGACCCTCACCCTGAGGGCTGTCGCCCGGGAGTGGACGCGCGCCGCAGCACGGCAGGGGGAAGCAGGGTGGGAGGGCACCCAGCCCGCGAAGAGGTGGCGTGATCACGGATGTGTGAGGGTGGGAGGACGCAGCGATGGGAGCCATCGCTGGCAGCTGGCCAGGCCTGCACGGCCCTGGAGAAAAAACAATAGAAAAGAGTGGTCAGTGGGGCCTGGACCGGACAGGGGCTGGGGCGGGGCAGGGCCCGGGGCCAGGGGCTGCAGGGCCCCCAAGGAAGGGGTGGAGGGGCTGGGCACCAGGGTCACCACGGGGGGGCCTTCCACATTGGCCAGGCTGGACCCCCGCCCGGGGCCTAATGCAGGGGCCCCCTCCCAGGAGGGACCCCCAGGTGGGGGCTTCTGGAAGACTCTGAGCGGGCTGCTTGGGGATTTGCTCTTGCAAATCAGGCCACTGCTTCTAGGAGAACAGAGTCACCACAGCCGTCCCACTGGTCATCTGTGATGCTGTTCCTTCACCTCAGAGTGCGGGCACTGGCATCCCTCCAGCCAGGTCCCCCCTCAGCCAGTCACTCCTCTGAGCTCCAAGCACCCCTTTCCCCTGAGGGCGCCAAGGTTCAGAGACCTTCCTCCAGCCAGCCTGGCACTGCCCAGCCCCATCTGGACGTCGAGGCCTGGTGGGGACACACCCAGGACCTGGGGCCCAGGCCGCCTCACTCCTGCCTGTGCCCCGCCAGCTCCCGGAGACTCTGACGAGGGCCTGTGTTCGATTTGGGTATTTATCTCAAGTGTCAGGGAGACCACTGGGCAAAGCCTCGGCGCCTCGCCTGCCAGCCCTGGATGAAGATAGCCCATTCCCCCATAAATGCCAAGTGGGACATGTCATCAGAGACAGGGTGACACTGTGCTCAACAGGACCTGGGCCAGGACGAGTGTCCAGCAAGGCCACTGCCGGCAGAACCTCAGCCATTCCTAACACAGCTACGCTTCCCAGTGTGTCCAGGGGGCAGGCTGCGGCCAGCATCACACAGGCAGGCAGAACCAGGGTGGACAGTGGCATACAGCCCCACAGGCTCTGAAGCCAGGCTTCTCCTTTGGGCCCTGGGCTTCTGGACTGTAGGCTAGAGTCTGAGAAGGCTGGGCGTGAGGTCAGCACAGCCTTAGCCAGGAGATGGAAGCTGGGCGCGGACGTCCCTCTGTCCAAGGCCACCATGTGCAGGTGTGCACTGGGCCAGGGCGTGGCTGACACCCTGGGAGCAGCCTCAGCCACCTGCCACACCGGCCCTTCCCTGGAATCGCCCAGGGCTGGGCTCCACGACCCCCTCCAGTCACTCCCCTGCAGGATGAGACGGCTCCAGACAGCTCTTCACCATGACTGTGGCCGCATTTACCAGCAGTCCAACACCACACTTCACAGGGAAGGTGGGTCCCATTTCCCTGATCAGGGCTCAGGGGGGCCTGGGACTTGACTCAAAGCTTAAAGTTCTCCCATCCCACTCTGAAGCTGGACTAGAGCTCAGTGACCAGGGAGGCCCAGATTCTGGGAGGAAGGTCAGGCGAAGGGAAGGGTGACCGAAGGCCGAAGACTGCCACCGAGTTGATGTTGACCACAGGGACTCTGCAGGACAGAGGAGGGCTTTCCCCACCCCCACCCCAGGGTCAGCAGGACTGCAGATCTTTACAGAAGGAGGCTACCTCTGCTTCCTCTTGAGGAAGCCTGGGGAACTTGAACCATCGACCTTTTGACTAGTGGCTAAGCACTTTAACCACTGCTTCACCGGGCTGGGCTTCTTAATAGGGCCCTGGGAGGCTGCAAAAGGTCAGGTTTGGGGCTGAGACCCTTGGGATTCGGGGTGTGGCTGAGGTATCCCCACCACTGGTCAGAACTGAGACCGTTGTGGGCCTGGGAGGACGTTCCCAAGGGCAGAGGGGCTTCAAGAGGACAAGGACCACAGAAGAGCACAAGGTCAGGCCTTCCCCTTCCAGAAAGGTCTAGACTGGGCCAGAAGCTGTGGAGACAAAGCATACACGGCATGATGCCTCAAACTCAGGTGGGTAGGCGGAGGGAGCCAGCTTCCCCTGATGGACCTGACCCAGCGGGGTGGGAAGTGACCAGGGTTGCCTTTGTCTCCTGGCTGGGAGCCCTGCCCCGTGGGAGCCCTGCCCCGTGGGAGCCCCTAGCCCGTGGGAGTCCTGCCCCGTGGGAGCCCCTGCCCCATGGAAGGCCTCTCTTTCTCTAGAGCAGCTTTGACTCCAAGTGTTGCTAAAGGTGGACGCCCTGGCTCCCCACGGTGAAGCCACCACAGCAGTGGACGTGGAGAAGCAGACGCAAGGCCACAAGTGTAAGATCCATTTACTGTCCAGATGGACAGATGGTCCACACCATGGTTCTAGGAGTGGTAGGCAGGGCCTGGGGGAGGGGTTTGGGGTTCCTCAAAGAGTGACAACTGTTCCAGACCTGACTGGGTGAGGGGTGCACCCACTTCGGGTCCCTCCTGGTGGACAGTGCCAGCCTCAAGCCTGCAGCCTGACAGAAGACACTGCTTGCCTTTCAAAGTGCAGAGAACCCGTGAAAGGAGGACACTCCACAGCTCAGAGCCAGGAGCAGCCACTCCAGCACCAGCCAGGCCTGAGTTCAAATCCTTGCCCTGCCACCTCCTGTCCCTGCGGCCAGCAGAGGTCATTTTCCCAGAATCTGAGGCCCTTGTCTTTAAAGGAAAGACTCCGGCAACCCAATCCCGAGCCTGCATCTAGTAACCACTCAAGAAATGGTCCCTGTCACTGACAGAGGCAATGCCAGGGCCTTCCCACCGCCCTCTCTGTTCTTCCCATGACATGAGAGTAAGCCCCACTGCAGAGGGACTGTGTGCCAACCGGCCACCTAGCAGTCCTGAGTTCCTTGAGGTCCTTGCCCGCCCTGTAATACTAACAGACCCTCATGTGCCAGGGCATGTGGTCCAGGGGCCTCAGACCGAGCCCAGGGTGTCCAACAGTGACACTGCACTGGTCTGCTGTCTTGTTTTCTAAGTCCACGTTGGGGACAGTGGTGGTTCAGGGGGTAGAATTTTTATCTTCTGTGCAGGAGACCAGGGTTCGATTCCTAGCCGATGTGCCTTACTCCCTGTAGTCAGTACAGTTTTGTGCTGTTACAAAGTTTCCAGACTAGCACAGGAGGGAAGAAAGGACTGGTGACCCACTTCCAAGCTGGGAAAGTTCCAGGCCCACAATGTTTCTATCCTGTTGTACACGAGGGGTTGTAACCCCAGGGAAGCCTCAGGGCCACCCGCCACCATCCTCATGGGGAGCCCGGGTAGCGTCGGCCAGAGCGAGCCGTGCTGCGAACCCAAAGCTGAGCATCTCCGGTGGTTCGAACCCAGCTGCGGCTCCAGGAGGGGGGAGTTGAGCAGTCTCCTCCCCTTTACATCTACAGCCTCAGAGACCCGGTGCAGGGTTGGCTAGGAGTCAGAACAAAGAGGAAGGTCATGTCTGAGTTCTGAGTGAAGGAAAATCAAAGAAAGATAGTATCTCTTGGCCTAGTGGCAAGAAGCTGCACTGCAATCCCAGAAGTACGTGGTTCAAATCCACCATTTGCTCTGCTGGAGAAGGAGGGGCAATCTCCTCCTGTACCAGTCAGATCTAATTTGATGGTACACAAAAAAAACAGTAATATTAAAATAAATTTAAAAAAAAAAGATAGTATTTCATGCACCTTTCACGCAAGACAGCCATGATGATCCACCCAGCTTAGGGTCTGTAACGCGGTACCAAAACCAGTCCACAAACAAAGCCCCAGGAGCCTGGTGGTAGGACATTTATGGCCCTCCGCTGACAGCCTCAGGGCAGGCGTTTTGAATCCACCAGTCACTTCATGGCAGAAAGATGGGAAAGTCTGCTCCCACACAGGCGCCAGCAAGGAAACCCCATGGTTTAGCTCCCTGGGAATCAGCACCATTATTTTCAACGAAGACTTTGATCTTGTGCCCCCTCCTCCAGGAAGCCTTCCTGGCCTTCCCCAGAATGGGTCTCCCTGTCTCCCACTTCCCAGACCCTTGTAGTCAAATCTCCCTCTGTTTCTCCTGCGCTCTGGGAGCCTGCTAACCCTTTGATACTCAGGACCTCCATTCCTCCAGCCCTCACTCACGCTGACCTCGTGCTGGTCAGGGCGCTCCAGGACTGGATTTAGGAAGCTGATCTCCAGCCCTTTCTTAGGCGGACCTCTAGGTTGACTAAAACCTCTAACCCTCCTATGAGTGATTAGGAGTGGGGTGTTCCTGGGATGGGTGCACCCGGGCCTGGCTCCTCTCCAGTGCTGGGATCCTGTCTCTCAGAGGCCAGCACACGGGAGGTCTCGGAGGGGGGGGGGGTGCTGCTGACTTCAGCGTGCGCCCAGTAAGCAGCTCGGGAGGGGCCCTGTGGCGCAGCGGTTAGTCTCAACCGCTAACCCCAGGTCCCTTCACAGGCACCAGCACCTCTGCAGAGAAGTCAGCTCCCATAACAGGCCCTCCGGACAGTTCCACCCTCTGAGGACTCGGGATGGACTGCATGACGCACAACAGCAAACAAGGCATCAGAGCCGCCCTCCGCGTTAGCACCACCCCACCCGGTGGGACTCTGCCTTCCAGGGGACCCTCCACCGGGCGTCGCCTCCCCGGCGCACATGCGCAGTGCAGCGCCCGGGGACACGCCCACTGGCGCGCTGCAGACACAAAAACCCCCGGAAAAGCGGCGGCGAGGAGACGAGGAGGCCGGGGACCCGCGCGCGCCCCGCGCCGGACACTGGGGCGCAGCGCCGGCCGCGCAGCGGGCAGGGCAGGGCCGTCCCTCGCCGCGGGGCCCTTCCGGCGGCGGGTGCCTCTTTTCGGGGTGAACTCCTCCAGATCCTGCAGAAATGAGTCAGAGCCGGGAAGGGGACGCGCGCGCGGGCGCCCGGATCCTGGCTCGGGAACCTGACAGTCCCCGCGCCCCCTCCCCCCATGCCAAGACATTAATTCTCACAAGTCGGAGAAAATTACTATGCATGAATGCAAAAAGCATGATCAGGAGTAATTAACATGGCTTCATATGCAAATTTTATTAATGCAGAAGTACAAAGTCATTATGCAAATGAAACTACGTCAACTCTCTTGACAAATATTCATCTCTGAGGCTCAAGTTTCTCCCTTTTATTTATTTATTTC